CAAACCCAAAATAGAAACAATATTAACACAGAGCAAAAAATGAAGAAATATAAATAAATACAAATAATCCCACAAGGGAACACTAATATAATTGTAAAACTTTAAAAAATATAAAAAGACAGATAACCAAGCTAGATCATTTCCCTTGTTTAGAACGTTCGCTCAAGGGAGACAATGTTTATATAACTAAAAAACCTTTTCTACTGAATCTCTAATTTTGTAGCTGTTCATGACTTATTTAACGACACTTTCAGTTGCTTAGGTTATATATACTAACAAAATGTTACGTAACGAAACTAGTTTGGAAGAGTATACATAAGCAGCCATGATCGCAGTGTTATTACTACTAGATTTTAAATTCGTGAGTGCTAATTATGGATGCATCTTAATTAACAGCGTAAAACAGTCGAGGCGGATGAGAAAGGATCGCCTATAATTAAAGAGTCCAGCGGTTCTAGAGTTATCAGATGGCACCGTATCAAAATCATTTTTTTTAATTATCTCGAAAACAGCAAGATTTCCATAACAAAGTGCATTCGGCAGGAATTGTGTCATTTTTCTCTTCATATTCTGCCCGAAAAGTTTTGCGCATCGGTAAATATTTAACTAGTTGCACGGCAGACGCGTGCAATATCGCGTCTAGGTCTCCATGTGACGTGCTCTTATTGTCTTGTTTTATCCATAGTTTGAATGTGAAAACAGATGTTGGGAAAAGTGTCTAACTTCATTAGATTTTTAGTCCGTTCGTAGTCTGTAGAGTTATTGCATGAGGACATACGGACGCGCGGGTAGACGTGGCGTCTCTAACAGTGGCATGTTTGCAAGTTTTCGTTGCAAACCCGACAGTAAATAGCATCGGATGATTGATAAACCTGTTTCCGTATCGTGGTTTCAAGCCTGCGGTTCGAATAAAACAACCCAATAATTATACGCGGATGACGAAACTGCACACTGGACCAGTTTTGGCAATTATTTGTATTCACAGCCAGAATGGGGATCGCTTCAACAAAATTTCTGTAGTTCAAACGTTGTTGAATGTGAGGATAATAGAAAATTGGCTTTTGGGGGATTAGAGGTGGAGAGTGGTTCGAGTTTATCTGCTTCAGGGGATGGAACCGGTTACGGGCTCTTTTGAGCACAGTAATGAGTCTTCGGGGTCCCATAAATGGCGGAGAATTTCTTAACCACCTGAGCGACCATTAGCTTCTGAAGAAGGGCTCTGCTGTAGGAAGTTAGTTAAATAGGATATGCTTTCCTGCACAGTGTAAGACTCGCGTTAAGCCAGATCTGACGTTGTCCCAGCTTGGTTCTCTTATCCATCAGTAGTTCTGGTTTGGTTTGTAGGGATTTGAAGACTACGCGCATTACACGTGTGTTGGAAAAGTTGCCGAATCTGCAGTGGGCGTAATTTTTGAAACTGTAAAATAGTGGAGACAAGCTTGACTTTTAAAAAGTGTTATTAAATGATTCATTGTACGAAAAGCTGGTTAACGAATGGGTACGTTCTGTATTTTTATTTTTTAAACCGGTCTAGCCTAGTTCCTATAAGTTATATTCATAAGATTGTCATAATAAGTACGGATTGTAATTACAGTGTAATGTAAGCATATCCCCCGGCGAAGAGTTTGCGCGTTTGCTGTTTTATTTTTATTTTTATTCCTGTGGCGGTCACACCTTATTTTTTTAGCCTATCATAAAAAAATAAAAATTCCGCTGGCTCTCTCTGCCCCCAGCTTCGTTCCTTACCACCTCGTCACTACCATTCTATCCTTATTATAAGGACGAGCTGATTAAGCGGGAACTTTCTAATAAAATGATGCTCTTTTCCTCCGAAATTAAAGTGGTTGTCCCTTTTGACACTTGTATTGTCTTTCCTAACTCTCCACCTTCATACTTCAAAGACTTAAGGCGTCTGTATTTGTTTCCCTAATTAACACTGACGACATCATCTTGAGCAGGAGTTGCGAGCAGTCCAACTGTGAAAAGTAAATATAGTATTTTTATTTTCTTGTTCGATTGCCAAGTCAGTAATTCCGCCTACAGTACTTCCAAGACTAGGAGAATGTCTTGGCAGACGTAAAGATCAAAAACACCCATGCCACGTCCACCAAAGGAGAAATTTTTTTTTTTAAGTATTCGTTGCCTCTCATAGCCTACGGGATTGTAGTTAATGTCTGAGTGTAGGGCTTTGTGGGGTGATGGTTTTCTGGACAGTCCAGATAAAGAGATGACGTTGAAACATTTTATAGATTCACTTTCTTATTCTGTTTCTCGTCAGTCTCCGTTGTCCTGCACGCGAGAGTGTTCTGGTGTCGATTTTGTTATGAATTGCGACGCCCTGTAATCTTGTCGGTACTTACCAGCGTTTCAGAGGAACCTATCGTCTACATTTTCGGCGTTAAGCTGAGAAAACTGGGTCACATACATGTTAATTATCCTAAATGTTCTTGCCAGTATGTATAAATCTTGGATACCCCTCGGGTTTAGCGACTCTGTAACGGGTAACGTCTGTTGATGTGCGTAGGCCCTTCGCAAACACATGCAGCGAGGTATCGTACTAATTAGTGTTCAGCAATTACTGAACATCTTCACGGAAACCATTCCGCTCGCTGTGTGGGAACGGCAACAATCCTAGAAGGAAGTATTACAATTAAAGTGGGATGTAAGGGTTTATTCAGCGTTCTTCCATGGAACGGAGTTCTCCTTGAAAAGCTAACAATCACCCAGAAAGTTTGTACCTTTTACAAAGCCTATAACCCAGATGCTCAGTAACTCGTCACTGGTTCCTGTTCTTAAAGATCCGTTTTGATAATCTCTTTGGCGCAATCCAAAGGGATGTGTAGATACAAGGTGAATTATTTAAAAGACGAGAGCCATGGAAACGGAATAGATTTGTGTAAAATTGGGCGAAGAAGAGGGGAAGTTTGCAGACAATAATCTTCGATTCATTGCAGACGAATGGATGACGTAAGAACCTGCTCATCGAAAGGATGTTGTAGACATTAGAAGGCCACTTGACTTTTCAATCTGAATGAACCATCGTTTTCTTTTCTGCCTTTCTTTCTTTCTTCCTGTTTTGTTTTCTCTTTATCGGACTCCTTATTTTATTGCCTATCAGTTAATAATATGTTTATTTAGTTATGCATTTATTTTCACAGCCCTTGTGTTAGACTTTTTGCCCACTCCACTGTTTTATTTGTTCGTATTAATACCTTGCTGTATTCATTCTGGGTTTATAAGGTGGCCATGTCTCTGCACTGTATAAACTACTTGTAATGCTTTTCCCATCCGTTCTCACTACGTCATTACGACTGTGCTCTGAAGGTCACATCTGTAGAGGTCGTGGAGACGTATTCCAATGTCATTGCCGTTGTAGGCCGGATTCAGCAGTTGCTCAAAAAATGACAGTTTTTGGTCGCTGATATCGACTTAAAGTGGGTCGTGCTTCCCTACCGGGAACCGAACCTGGTCATTCAGCCTGCAGATAGAC